CCTCAATGAGAAGCCTTTTCTTCTTTTGGGTCACTTTAGACTAATTGGTAGATGTCAACTTCTTCAACTGTGAGCAGCTCAACTTTTCCAGAAAGCCTTAATTATCCAATTGAGAATTCAAGGAGGCTATAATAGTAAATTACAGCCATTATGCCTAGGTTGTCAGGATCTAAGGAAATTATTTTTATAGTATTGGCTTTAGTCATTTTTGAGGAGTAACGAACTGGAGTCAGGTCTTAGAGGGAAAGTACAAAGCACTGGGTGTTTAGGTTCCTAGAGTAATGAGGAGTATTCTAATTAATAATGTTTGATAAAAAAGGAAGGAGATCTCAGAGTATTTTCAAAGAAGGTAAAGGTTCAGAGAGTCTACTCTACTTGCATATTAACAAGTCAGCTTACCACAGTTTTAGGTGTGTTGGCAGAAACCACAAGACTCCAGGGTCAGAGTCAAAGAACTCTGTTATTCATGGTACAACAAGCAGTATGAGCTTCATGTTCTCATTGCTTTCCCTTGCCTTACAAATCCCATAGGGTGACACCAAGATGGGCCCAAGAGGATGCTATGCACAGAGTGGGTTTGTGTCACTGCTGAGAAACCCAGGCTTAGTGACCCAAAATCTTTTAAAATGGACTAAAAGCAAACTTGCCTGACATGTGCCCTAAAGGGAAATATAATCTGTCTTGAAAGCAAACAAAACTGCCCTCTGCTCTGGAGGGTGACACTATGTCTTTCAAGGCTATACACTATACAAACATCCTTGAAAAGATAGTCCAGAACAAAGACCATCAATGCCTGTGCTCACAAAATGTGAAAAAAATGTGAGAAACCCATAGAGAATAGCCTTTAAATAAGTTTGTGCTAGCCATCAGGGAATAGTCTTGCACAGAGATGTAAGAGATAATTAATTCACCTATTGCTAACTTTCATCTGTGGTATCTCCAAACTCTTCTGGAAACATTAAGTCAACACAACACAGGTAAATGTTGGTGCTGAAAATTGAGATCAGCAGGCATTCAGCATCCACTGAATGACCAACATTGTTGGAAACATGAAATAGAAGGTACAACTCATGCCTTTCATTTTACTCAATGATAAATAGCTCACACAGAGCCCACAGGACTGCATGCGGCCCGCCTAGCTCCTTAATACTGTCTGTGATCTGATTTCAGGATGAAAGATTAGAAAGTTACCTCTGAATTATTACTTCTCAGACATGCCCATATATTAACATTTTAGTGGCTAAAAAGCATTAACAATTTTCTCCTTAATAATTCTTTAATTCAGTAAAATAGTTATTATAAATTGTAAGAAAGCACATTTTCCTATGTAACTCAATAAAGCTATTTTCCTTTTCAATGAAAAAAAAAACACACATAAAAGATTTTTTCCCTGAGTTTGACTACATAGACCCCCCCAAAAAATAAACAAACAAACAAAAAAAAACCCAAAAAACAAAACAAAACAAAAAATCAGCTATTCACTACTAATTACAGCTAAGTAAGAATGAATGGTTCTATAAACTTGGAAATTGTAGGTGAACTGTCGACCTCACATAATTCAAGCACATACCAAAATTCACTGAAATTTATTTGAAATAAAGGATAAATGCTTTCAAATGATCATGTTGGTTTCTATTTTGTTTTAGGAAGACTAATGGAAATATAAACCACTTCTATGACATATTTATAAAACCTTCATTCTTTAGAGTTTAAACATTTCATCAAAATCTCTCAGCTCCCTTGAAAGTTATAATGAAGCAAATGAAAAAGTAATGGTGGACTGAAACCTACATTTCTTTCCTTTAATACATCAGTGATGTTTATAAAGACCTGGCTTTAAAAAAAAAAAAAACATTTAGCATATGCCTTCTCAGCAGGAGCAGTATCACCCACAAAGGGATGAATATTGGTTCTTGGGGAGGTGAGTGGAGAAAAATTATTGATATTATAATGGTTCACAGTATATAACAGATAATGTAGTATATCTGTGGTATTAAATTTTAACAGTGGGGAATTAGGAAAAAGATGTCTAAAATTGCTCCTTGGGGCAGAAGAATGATAATGAAAAAAAAAGATTCAGAACCAGTGATCTAGCATAATGTTTTGATCAGTGTTGTCAGATAGCAACCACTAAATTAAGCAAAGGGATTTATTTTTAATTTCTCTCTATGTCATATTTGTTTTTTTTTACCTTTTTAACCTATATGCAATATAATAGCATGAAAGAATTTTAATGAAATGGTATCCATAATATTATGTTATAAATATTTTAATTTTGTGTATCATTTATGTAAAATCATAAATACAAATTTTTGTAGTCTGTTGTTTTTACTCATATACATATATTCATCTTTCTACATAGTCTTTACAATGACTATTTTTATAAGGATACATGAGATTCAGTTGTACTATGGCTCTCTTTTGGTTGTATTTCTAAATCTTTAAAAATCCTTCCATGTCTTCTTTGCAGTTCTGCTTCTCCTGACTTCCTATTAAAAACTGGAGTCCTCGGGAATTGCATGCTGTAACCTTTCTTCTCATATACTATCTCAGAGTAATCTCATCTATCCTCCAAGAGCACTCTAATTTTCTAGCTCCAGCCTGGACTTCACTCCTGGGTTCCAGACTCATATTTTCAACTTCTCACTGGTATCTGTACTTAGATATAACTTTTAAGTTTTTTAAAAAAAAAAGATCACATTTCCTCAAACCTGTTTATCCCTGGTCATCTAGACTCCTTCTCACCCTCCCAGTGAGATTCTATTGACTGTATTAATTCCTTCAAAATATCCATCCTCTCCATTCACTCTGTTCTCCCCTTAGTTCAGTCCTTTATCTCTTATTTAGACAATTACACTATACTCCTAAACATTTCCTTGCTATCTGCCATAGCAACTTGAGTCATCCACCACAGTGCTGTTTGACAAGTCTTTCTGAAGTATAAATCTGATCAAGTCATTTGCTATTGCTTATAGCTGTGCTGCCCAATATGGTAGATGGGAGCCGCATATAGCTATTGAGCACTTGAAATGTAGCTAATCTGATGTGAAATGCGCTGAATTAAAAATATATTAGATTTCTAAGACTTGGTCTGATGAAATAAATGTAAAATATATAATTTTGTATATATTAAGTTGAATATTTGCTTAATATATTCAAATTAGTTTCATGTGTTTTTATTTTTTTTTTTAATATGGTTACTAGAAAATTTAAAATTATTTATGTGGCTCACATTTGTGGCATGCATTGTATATCTAGTGGACAGTCCTGGTTTACAAGATAAATGTTCAAATTCATATCATAAAATTACTATCTTTCATCATCTGGCCACCATATCCCTAGTCCATTTCATCTTCTGCTAGCTGTCATGCAAAGAGGGCTGGTCTTGGTGTCAGATTGATCTGGGTTCATGCCTGAGCCCCTCCACATGCCAGCTGTGTGATCTGGAGCAAGATGCATAAACTCTCTAAGTTTCAGTATCCCCAGCTAAAAAACAGAGATAATACCTATTTCAATGTGTTGCTGGGAGGATTAAAAGATATGACAAATGTTGAATGCCTACTACATAAAATTTAATTTTCCCAGATACATTCCAGCTAGACTAAACTACTTTCAGTTCTTCTTCTTTCTATTATAAAGAGTGGGTGATGGTTCAGCTGTGTCTGCAGCCTTAATATTCCTAAAAGTAC